ACCCCTACACGCCCGTCCTCCTGACGGGCGCCCGCTCCCACGAGAGCTACTGCGGTCGGAGGCCACTGGGGAGCCGGACCCGACCGCACCTCCGCCGTTGAGAAGACGATGTCGTCCACGCGTTACACACCGCGTGTAACGCTGTACACCCGCCAGTGCCGCTGCCGCGGTCAGAGCTAGGGATGGCCGTCGGCCATCCTCATCACCGACCAGCCATTGCTGGTCGAGATTATGTCCGAGGCATGGGGGATGCCCCGATACTCGAATAAAAGCAGGCCTCGCGCCAGCTTCGTACATCAACACTTTTAAGATTGAGATAAGACAAATTTCTTACTGCTCTTAAGAAAAGTGAATCTAACTCTCTATTTTGTGGATTTAGAACGGAGCTATTTTATTAGAAGTGTAATCTGAGCAGGCGTTGGCTGTAGATTTATGTAAACACCGCGCACCTTGGAAATCCAATACACCCGTGGTCCAGGATACCTTACCCAGTAAACGCAAAAGTGTAATATGATTCAGATTAATAAAACATCAGGACACCCAGCTCTGACTGCCCGTTAAGAATTTAAGGCTTAGATTTATATGATAGAGTTGTGAACAAATTTGTTTTATCATAATACAAATGAATGTTGCAACATCGTGTACAGATGTTAATGCTACATCAGGGTAAAACGTTCGTGCCAACGGTCCTTCACATTAATGAAAACGTCAGAGTGATAAATACCTTTGAAATTGCTCGCCACAAAGTTATCGCGTCGTACAAAGTTTACGTTTTTGCTTAAGCTCGCTTGATGTAAAAATACAGCTCCCCGGATAAAACCTTTTATAATAATTTGTTATGGAGTATACAGATAAGTTGAAGTTTATAAGTGCTTTTGGGTGCCGTAAAGTTTATTTAAAGAGTGTGTTTACGAATTATTAATGATTATTTATTTATCAGACGGTTCAGTATCGACTCCGATGCGTTTTAATTTAACTTGGGATTTGTCAGAGTTCAGCAATACTAACAATCGTAATAAATTTAATCGAAACATTATATCAACGCTTCGACAAAAGAATAAATAGGTAGGTAACATTTTCATTAAAACTTTTAATAAAACATGCTTAGAAGGCTGCTGTCAAAAACCAGTTTCCATATTTTTGTTCATATATAAGGGGCTATTATTATCTACCTCTTCACATAAGACGACAATATGCTCGAAACATTGCAACTATCTTTTGAAACGATTTTTCAAATCTTTGAATCCGTTCTGTCAGTTACTTGATTGCTCGGTTCGCGCATGCGTGCTATGTGCGTCATTTTTCACCACATGTTGTTTCAATTCACGGGTATTCAAATTGGCGGACCTCCCTTAGGCCTAATAGGCCCGGGCCTAGGGTGGCCACACATTAGAGGCGGCCAATAGTGACAAAAAAATCACTGATGATCACAAGATACATGATGGGCTCTGAGAAAGGGGCGGATGGAACATACTACATGGGCTGGGGCCTAGGGCGGCCAGGACTACAAATCCGCCACTGGGTATTCACTCATCACTATTTGACAAAATTTAATGTTTCAGTACAGAGATTAGCGCAATAAAAATTTAATTGAAGTGAGTTTGATTTCCGCAGCAATGAAAAATGTTTGCTAAACATTTTAAATATATTAAAATAATAATATGCACTCATCAGAGAACTAAAATAAAAAGAAAACTTAAAACAAAGTAAATGCTCGGAAAGCCAACTAATTCCTAGAAACGTAACTTTTTACAAGAAACCCTTTACAGATAATTACTAGTTTAAGCCTAGTAGTGTCGGTCAATGAATCAGTCCTTGAGTTTCACTAAGGGCATAATAAAATTCAAATTTCGAAGGAAGAAAGAGTCTCTTGAAAATCCAATAACTATGATGTAACAAAATTTCACGTCTGGGGAGACATAAACTCAAAGAAAGTTCTTTAAAATTTTACTTACTTATTTATACCCTCTGTATAGAGGAGGCCTTTGCCCAGCAGTGGGACATGTATAGGCTGTTACTTTACTTTACTTTTACTTATTTATATATTACATACATTGTTATCCACATATAATATTTTAGAAATCTTAAGTGTTTACTTCGACAACTTATGTATTAAATGTAGCTACCAACTTTATTCAATACATATAAAACTTTTCTATTGATTAACTTAGTCAAGTTACAGTGTTTCACTCATATGATATAAGATATTAAAATTTTAATTACAATATTTCAAAAACAGCTATATCTGAAACATACTAAAATTGATATAGGCTTTGTTTTTTAATGTTTCATATCTTCTAATAATTTCTATCATTTTTGAAATATATTAATTATGATATTAATTGTGTATTACGCAAAACAATTATTTGCAAAAATTTTGCTCGCAATTTTCACATAAACTAACAACCAGATCCCGAACGTCATATTTTTCCTGATTTTTGTTGACAAACTAAAATTTTATGCATTAAATAAAAATCAATCGGAGCTATATTTTAAGACTGTAATACGCTTGTTATTCGTTTTTATTACGACGAGCTTATTTTCATCTCATTTCACTGTGAATTTTTAGTTCTTGTCGTTCGTTCTTGTCGTCTTACTGTTTACTGAATCTTGCTTCTAAACATCACGAGCAAGACAAATAAACAACACCGAAATCAAATAAAAGATTTATCTTAAGCCGACACCTAAACAAACAGCCGAATATTCAACATGAGGACTAGGCAACTGCGTGTCTAAAGGCCCATTTACACGGTGCAAGTTTCTTGCCTGTTATGTACAATTAAATTGAAGCAATAAATGAGTTGCATTGTCTAAACAACAAATGGTCTAACAAATTATTGCGCGCAATTTATTGCATTCAATTATTGCTCTTGTATGTACAAGAAAATGGCATCGTGTAAATGGGCCTTAACTCGCAAATATTTAATAAGACATATGGAACCTTAGTTTTCGCAAATGTTGTTTTGTTCCTGCATTGTTAGAGCGTAGCAGCCATTGTTCGAGAAGCACGGTTTGTTTTGGTATTCAAAATCTTCAACGTTGAAAAATCTGAACATCTTTATTAACATGTCATATATCTTTTGAAATAATATCGCCCATATGAAATACAAACCACTGGCATCTTCGATTTAGGATTAAAATTTCAAAGTTTATCTGAGTAAATAAACCATTTTACAAACCACTGGCAGATTTAAATTTCAAAGTTTATTTCAGTAAATGAACCGTTATGACTTAAATGAGAAACAATATATAGTGCTACTGTAGTGATAACTTGAAGAGTTTGTATAAATTAAAGATCTAAAAATTAGAAAATAAAGTATGAAACTGGCGATAGCCACGGAAGGAAGGAAATGGTAGGGCAAAGGCCTCCTCTTTACAGAGGCTATTAGGGCATAGCCCACCGCAATTCCACCGTTGATTGGTCATATCATCTAATAAATTGTCTTGTTTACGATAAGAACATTTAAGTGGAAGTGATATACCGAATATTACATACCGAATTTATATCAGGTTTTTCATGGATTAGAAGAAAACAGTCCCTCGAAATCTGGACAGCATTATATTGTATGAATGTTTATCCCGTTAGATTTAAAAGCCCTGGCGTATATCATTTTGTAACATAAGGGTTACCGCCAAATTCGATACCTACGGTTTGGAACTTATTTCGTTTTGTTAAAGGGTTTTAACGGTGGTAGGGCCACGAAACGGCCTCGGCTGTTGCCCGAATGGGCAGGCTCGTACGGATAAGTACAATGACCTCACAGAAGACCGGCGTAAAGTGGAAGTATAACTTTCGTGTTTCGTCTGGTGAGTGAGGTAGCCGAAGCCCAATTTTCAAAAGAAAGAAAGAAAAATATTTACTTGGTACATAAACGTAGAAAAACACATAAAACTCATAAACACAGTAATTTAGTTACAAGAAGAACAAAATATTTTATGCTTATTAGTGCACCAAAACTATTAAACTTAGTGAATTTAACGCTGAGTGGAAACACTCAGCGTTAAATTCACGAAGTTTAATAATAAAAAAAACTTCATGAAAGCTGATTTTCAGTGGAACCTATAAAGGTTGTCAACGCACCTGCAATCCTCGGGTGTAGCGGATGTCCTTGGGTGGCGGTATTCACTTAACATCAGGTGAACCGTCTGCTCACTTGGCAACTTTTCACATAAAAAAGGGTTCCATTTACAATTATCATTGTTTGTTTAGCTTCGCCATATTTGATTACTCAATCACTTGCACTTTCTGTTATATACAGTTATTTGTAGAAAAGTATTTTTTTTTAATCTGAAGTGCAGAGAAAAGAACTATAAAATTTAATAGCCTATGCACAATCGCGAGGTTTGCAGCCTCTTGTAGGTACTTAATACTAACCAACTTTAAAAAAAACTGATATTTTGACGCGAGAATTTTCGCCGAATTGCAACGCCGAAGCCAATACCTTGGCAACTACGCCACGAAGTCATCAAATTCATTCACTATTAGTCACTATTATTATTATTTTTTCAATTTTTACCATTTTTAAAGGCTTCAGCACTGGTCCAGTCGAGAAGTGGGACAAGCGGTGTAGTAATTAGTAAAATAAGTAACGTAGGCAATGTCGACGGTATCAGCTAGTACTTGATAAACTATAAATAAAATAACTAGATTCGAAAATAGCATAAATATAAACGTGCGAACCAATTTTCTAGTGGTGCTGTGTTATTTACCTTAATTTCATCTATTGCGACATGATCGATAAAGTTTAACGGTCTTCGATAAACTTTGAGAATGAAAAATACGAGGCGAAATATTATTTCTGTTGTGACAATACGTATTACAAATTTTAAAGACGACTTGTCTTTACAACATGAAGTTTTTTATATTAGTTTTAGCAGCCCAATGCTCTGCCTCGAAAGCACCATTGAGAATTTACGGAGGAGCCGACGCAAAGCCTGATGAGTTCTCATACGTCGTCCGAATAGAAATAAACCGTATTTTTCGGTTTAAGAATTACACAATGGGTGCCCGAAATGATCATATCTGCTCGGCATCAGCACTCTCTCCGATATGGGTGTTGTCTGCATCTCACTGCGTTTCAGAAGATCTAGGCATGTTTCATTACGGAAGACCTTTTACTGTTCAGAAATTGGTGATAAGATATGGGCACGTGGAACACTCACCCCTGATTAAAGATTCTTTTAGTGACGTTTTGTTCACAGTAACGCATCAACGATATTCACCTTTGAGTTTCGAATCATATAATTTCGTTGCGCGGCCAACGAATGACATATGCCTTGTGAAGACTTCCCCAATGAACATTCAGAGATATATTAAACTGAGCGCCCTCGACTTTAAGTCTTTATACGGCCATGAGGCCATTCTGGCCGGTTTTGGAGTTACCACAAAAAATCTTCCAGAAGGAAAAATCATAACCGGGCTCACGCTGAATTTGAAAAAGCCATTGCAAGTTCTAAACACATTGGTAACGAAATGCGCGAGTGTCGAGATCCTTGATCCAATTTTTTGTCTAGCTCCCAGATGCGGTGACGTGGCAATGGCGTGTGGTGGAGACTCTGGTGGGCCGCTAATACACCCGTCAGGTGTGATAGGTGTGTTATCGTCGGGTGAAAGCAGTGGATTTTGCTTGGACCCCACACCTAAAGTACGGGCGGAACGAGTTGCCTTTATCATCCCCGTAAGCCCTTATATTGAATGGATTTATAGCTATATAAACTCGTGATGAAAAATTGTATAAAATGTCTGCATATCAGAAAACATTATAAAACTTTAATAAAAGCATAAGTATTTAAATATTGTAACAGAATTTAAGTTTCTTAGCAAAAAAAGAACCGACTTCAAAAAACACTGTTATTAAAAAATATAATGTTAGTAAAAATATAATAACTCTAAATCTAATATAATCCAATCTTGAAAATATGACTTATATAACCTAACCCACCTTTAACAAAATTTGACATTTTCTGTTACATTCTTTGTTTAAAATTACAATAATCTTCTTAGTTTAATTTGCACACGTTTGGCTATAAGTTTTCAATTTGGGTTAAAAGCAGTTTTACAGCACAAGTGAAGGTAAAATTCCCAAAAATAAAATAGTTGACAATTAAGGTATACAAAATGGTAAAATGGTAAAAATTGCTTTTCATCGTGTTGCCTTGGTTTTTATACACCTAATAGAGACTATAGACCTCAGTATATAGTATAAATTTCAGATAAAAACGGTGGTGAACACGGATAGACAGACGGACAAGAGAGTGATCTTATAAGGGTTAATTTTTTACCATTCAAGGTACGGAGCCCTAACAAAGCACAACAAGAAAAGCTATAGGACCTCTCGTTTTAAGGGTATTAAATTTATAATATCGGGTTAGCGACGAGAGTCGTAATCCGCGCTCAAGCAATAGTAATATTGAATCACTTTACTGTAGGTACATACATAATATACATATACAGCGTGTCTTTACCACCGCGACAATAAATGAACACACGTCTAACGCTACTTGCCAATAATAATAAAAAAATATTAACGTTAAACAAAATCCATAAATAAAAAATATATTTTTCAAACAAACTAATTAGGTAAAAAAGAAACAAAATTTGTAACACCTATGCAACTCGCGCCACAGCGTCGTATTACAAGCCTCTCCTTCTAACAGTATGTTTTGTCTCTTTCAAATTCATTCAACCCATTCATATGCTTTGTGACCTTTACAAATGAACTTTACGTTACGCTTTTATAGGTAAGGGTGTTCTTAAATTCTTTGTTTTGGAAAATTTGATAACTCAGTAAATATTGATGTTTAAAGAATTTAAATCTTAAATACAATATTAAAAAGTTATCCTCTATATGTGTGTACATTTATTGTCGCGATTGTTAAGACACGCTGTATATCAGCGAGGTTTGACTGTGAATCCAAGATAAACGGGTTCAACGACTGACGGGTTCCTACATATTCAAGCTTTAAATTCTGAATATGTAAAATATTTATGTAAAATATTCAATAATATAAAATGAATAAAGGCCCATTTACATGGTGCCAGTTTCTTGCCTGTTGTATACAATTAAATTGAAGCAATAAATGAGTTGCATGGTCTAAACATTACATAACATTATGGACTGTTGAACAAGACTTGCTTCAAGTTTTATTTCAAACCTTTCCTTGGTGTAAACAGCACACACAATAATTTCTTAAGCAATTCTTGTATTCAATTGTATTCTCTCTTCCATTGCAAAAATGAGTGCGATGAGTGAGGGTGTTTAATCGTTGCTGTTCTTTTGAGGCAAGAAATATTGAGAAAAGGTCGTAAAAAATGTTGGACAAAAAAAATGAATAATAATATATAGATAATAATAAATAAATCTCAATGAAGTATATTAAATCGGCATAGTCTAACTTGAACAGTTATTATCAACCCATTTTTTTTAAAATAAACAGCCCTTTTCAAAACGCTCAAAACTTGAATGAAATATTTGTCAACGCAAATACGTGCAATACTTGAAGCAACAGGCCAATAAAATTGTACACGCAAATACAAACATGTGTTTAGACAAGTTAAAACTTGAAAACAATAATCGCCTAAACATAATTGCATTGGTGTAAACAAAAGACATTTGCAATTATTTCTTGTCAAGACTTGCATTCAATAATCGCATTCAATTTTTTTTACTATATCTGCGTGTAAACTGTTGCTTACAATTCTTGATGGTCAATTATTGTTCGCAACTTATTGCATTCAATTATTGCTCTTGTATGTACAAGAAAATGGTATCGTGTAAATGGGCCTTAAGTGTAAAAAATGATTTATGACCGACTATGCATTTTATTTGCTCTAAAATAACATTTTTCATTTCTTACAATAATCAATATATTTATGATAGGAAATAATTTTTTTTTTAGTAACCAAAAGCAAAATCGACATCAGATATCTCGCTCTGTATCCATTTTATAATTGATTTTCAGGAGTTCCCTTCGTATCTCCGGCGCCCAAGATCCAATAAAATTATACCAATGATATTAATAGTGAACCGCATGGGAAGCCAGCTTTCGCATAAAAAAATAATTATTAAACTTCCCTCATTCGAAAGTTCTGGTAACAAACATAAAAAAATACAGTCGAATTAAGAACCTCCTCCGTTTTTGAGGTCGGTTAAAAACCATACACTCTGCAGAATCTAAATAGTTATAGTATAATATAAAATAATTATAGTTAGAAAAACTGATATTCTTGTAATATATTAATAATAATGTTTATTTTGTCTTTTGAGTGTGCTTTAATAAACTTCTCTCACATGTTATACTAGCAATCATATTCATAACGGCATATTGTTTAAGGACTGGGCGAGTCATTAAGAAAATGCGTACGCATGGCTAGGTATGATGAACTCCGGTGCTAGTTATACCATGTTGTTCCAGCCAGGGTACATATTGACAGGGTCACGGGAATGCTTTCACACACTCTGCCAGCGCTGGCCGCTTTAGCAGTCCCTCCACGGGAAGCAAGAACTCTCGTCGCAGGAACATAAAGCGTGCCTTCCTACTCGGGGTCTTTCGTACACGTAAACGAATCCCCTGCCTCAGCCTCTGCTAATAAACAACACTCATCACAGCCCCTACTGACATATCTGGTCTGTTGTTTTGCCACTCACCATGTCTCGGCCGCAGAGGTTAGAGAGAATCCTTCTTTCCCCCACAGCCCACTGTTGCGTCAACGGAGCAATTCCCTAGAGTTGCGGAGGACAGGGACGGTGGCGAAACGAAATACCAACACTACTCTTTCTGTGCGACTCCAACTCGGTTTCGGGGGAAGGATTTTTGGAGGGCGTTTGATGATTAGTTGCCTTTAGTGGAAGGTATTCCAAAAAAGTTTGAGAAACACTGTTAGGACCTAAATAATCAACGTTATGCATGTGGACGTATTAATACATGAGGAGATCGTCTACCGGCCGTCAACGTGAAATATATGAACCTTGACGGCGCGATTCATCAGGCGCTGACTGTGTTATTCGTTATTTGGGAGCGATAGAAATCGCCCCAGGGCGATAGAAACGCCCTGTGTACACATAGCGTTAAGGCCCATTTACACGATGCCATTTTCTTGTACATACAAGAGCAATAATTGAATGCAATAAATTGCGCGCAATAATTGTTAAGACCATTTGTTGTTTAGACCATGCAACTCATTTATTGCTTCAATTTAATTGTATACAACAAGCAAGAAACTGGCACCATGTAAATGGGGCCTTACTTTGGGCATTTTGCTGGGCTCGCAGGCCTGGACAAACAACTACAATGTGATGTAAGTATACGCTTATATGCACTAGTATGGATAGTGTTTATTATTTCATAGTGGCAATTAAAGTAAAGTAATCTATGTAGGTTTAAAAGTTTTATATAGTTTTTATGCTGCTACCATCTGGATGGTAGCAGCATAAAAACAAGGGAACTCAAGAATTATTTTAAAAAGCTGTACAAACAACAATGACAAAAGGACAAGAAATAATAGAACTTAATTAATACATTAAACGTTAATTAGTTGAAACGATGTCATTTGAAAATAAAACAATAGCCAAGACAAAACAAAGTAAGGAAGGTAAATACAACGAACTTTATTCTTTATCCCTAGAATCGCTACTTAAAAGAAATATAGGGAAGGCTATTTAGAGGCTAAGAGCATGGGAAAACATGAACAGAATTAAATATTAAAAATTTAAAATTTTTATTTCATTTCAAACAAAATGGAAAGCGTGAATGAAAATCTGATGTTAAAAGAAAACCGCCGTTCATTGACATTTGCAACACCCGTAGGGTTGCAGTTGCGTTACCACCTTTGTGGGGGTCAGCTACCTCACTCACCAGGAAACGCAGAAGTGTAACACTTCTTCACGCCAGTCTTCTGTGATGTAGTGGTACTTACCGGAAGAACCTGGCCATTCGTGCAACAGCGAAGACTGTTGCGTGGCCCTACCACAGTTAAATCGTTGTTATGCGCTCGCTTGGTCATATAACAATTCTGTTGACTAGCAACGCTCAGTTGCTGACATTCTATTACGATGTTTCTTACTTTTACAAAGGCTCGTTGATAAAATGACGAAATACATTTTTATCGACCCTCTTGTTTTATAGTGAATTATTTTAAACCGAGTTTAAACTGGAGTTCAAATTTGCGGTACAAGTGTACGCTTTACACGCTTTTTGCTTTTCCACATCAGCGGGTATTAATGAAATTAGTGGCGTTACGACTGTTTACAGGAAACTGCTTAAACTTTTCACGCAGGCTTATAAACAAATAAAAGGGTTGACTTTTGCCGGAGTTCCACTAATTCTGTTAAATGTATGAACCTCGCTTTCTTAACTGTGGTGTGTGTGCAGGCGCATCCAGAGAAGTATGAAAATAATAGAAATCGTCCTCAATGGAGACCCACGTTGCATGGCAATAATAAACTACGCGATTTGTCTAGTGATGATTGAGATAACGGGGTATCTGCCACTTATTATGTAAATAATCATGGGTGGCGGTAATCACATAATGTCAAGTAAACCCCCTTTACCAAATAAAGAATTAGTTGACGGACAGTACAAAAGATTCCAACAAGAACTCATGGTTACTAAAACATAATTAATATGTTGATGTTAAACCTATTTCAAATGCGTATTTCAAAGACAAACATAAAGATTCTCGTAGAACTCTCTGCAAAAGATCGATGAGCACCACAGCTTGTAAAAGTATTTCATCGAACAATTATTTTAAATAAGAAAAATAAAATTAATCATACATTTACAACAAAGGTGACTCGTTAAAATACTCGTTTTAAAAATGTTATTTTTACCGTGTTTTATGCTGTAACACATGCACCCTAGGTTGCGCCAAACATAACTGAAACTGCAATAACAAATTTCACAAAAATCTGCCGCATTAACCGCTTACCGTGGACACGTATCATCAGTTTTACGATACGGCCCGATAATTTGTTTAAATGTAAACATAAATAAAATATATTTATACGAGAAAAAGTGTGGTTTGTTACGTTGGACCATTTGTAAACTGTAGACCGATATTGCCCCTGTGGGGTTTCCGGGGAGAATAATATGACCTTTTTATCCCGAGGTTTGCGAAGGAGAAGAGGAGGAAGTTGGCCACCAGCGTCTTCCATTTATATAACATATTGTAACGTGTTAGGGTTAGAAGGATTTGGAGAGTAAGACCTGCTGACTCTTTTGAAGACTTTATTCACTAGCGCTAGGTCCAACACAAAGCACTAGGT